AAACCATGTTTATGCTAAGGTGTCAGTATCCAGAATATATAAGAAACTTATACAACTCAATAGCAAAAATTATAATGGTAATAAATAATAACAATAATAATGATGGTGATGATGATGATAATAGTAATGATTTAATTAAAATGGGCCAAGGACGTGGGTGGATAGTTTCTCAAAGAAGGCTTATACAACTGGCTGACACATACACAAAAAAGTATTCAACTTCACTAATTATCAGGAAATGCAAATCAAGACCATAATAAGATATCACCTCACACCTATTAAGATGGCTTTTATCAAAATTAGAAGAGATGACAAATGTTGCCAAGGACGTGGTGTAAGGGGAACCCTAGTACACTGTTGGTGAGAATGTAAATCAGTGCCACCATTATGGAAAACACAGGATGGAGGTTCCTCAAAAAATTAAAAATAGAACTACCAGATGATCCAGCAATTCCACTTCTGGGTATTTTCCAAAGGAAAAACTTAACTCAAAAAGATGTATGTACCCCTATAGTCATTGGAGCATTATTCACAATAGCCACGAGATGGAAACAACCTTAGTACATACCGATGGTTAAATGGGTAAAGAAGTTGTGATACCTACCGATATCTAAATCTACATCTACATCTATACCTACATCTGCATGGATGTAATGGAACATTATTAAGTCATGAGAAAGAACGAAATCCTGTCATTTGTGGCAACATGGGTGGTCCTAGAGGACATTATATGAAGTGAAATAAACGAGACAGAAAGGAAAAAATTCAGTGATCTCACATATATGTAAATTCTAAAAAAAAAGGAATTGAGCTCATAGAGACAGAGTTCAGTGGTGATTACCAGGGCTGGGGTGGGGAAAATGGGAGAGGTGGTGGTCAAAGACTACAAACCTTCAGTTATAAGACATGTCCGTTCTTCAGATGTAATGTACAGCATTGTAACTATAGTTCATAATACCGTATTATATAATTGTAATTTGCTAAGAGTAGATCATAAGTGTTCTCATCACACACTTTAAATAAATGGTATGCGAGGTGGTAGATGTGCTAACCTGGTTGGGGTAATATTTTCACAATGCATGAGTATATCAAATCACTCTGTTGTACACTTACATATACACAATTTTGTCAGTTTTATCTTAGTAAAACTAGGGGAAAACAAACAACAAACAAAAAAAGACCATTTCCTTAAAAGAACAGGAAATCCCAGTGCTACTTTTTTTGTGGCACTACATCAAAACAAAAAGCTTTTGCATAGCAAAGGAAACAGTCAACAAAACTAAAAGACAGCCTATTGTATGGGAGGAGATATTTGCAAATGACATATCTGATAAAGGGTTACTATCAGAAGTATATCAAGAACTTAAACAGCTCAACACCAAATAAACAAATAATCCAATTAAAAATGGGCAGAAGACATGAACAGACATTTCTCCAAAGAAGACATCCAGATGGTCAGATGATCAACAGACACATGAAAAAATGCTCAACATCACTAATTATCAGGGAAATGCAAATCTTAACAGCAAGGAGACATCACCTGACACCTGTCAGAATGGCTAAAATCAAAAACACAAGAAACTAGTGTTGGCAAAGATGTGGAGAAAAAGGAACCCTCTTGCACTGTTGATAGTACAAACTGGTGCAGCCACTCTGGAAATGGTATGAAGTTTCCTCAAAAAATTAAAAATAGAATTACCATATGATGCAATAATTTCACTACTTGAGTATTTATCCAAAGAAAACAAAACACTAATTTCAAAAGATAACATGCATGCCTATGTTTATTGCAGCACCATTTACAATAGCCAAATTATGAAGCAGCCCAAGTGTCCATCAATAGATGAGTGGATAAAGAAGATGTGGTATATACATATATATATGTATATATGTATATATACACACACATATATATGTGTGTGTGTATACACACATATATATTTGTATATATGTGTGTATATACACATATATATATATTTGTATATATATATGTACACATACGTACAATGGAATATTAGCCATAAAACAGAATGAGATCTTGCCATCTGCAACAACATGGATAGATCTAGAAGGTATAATGCTAAGTGAAATAAATCAGAGAAAGACAAATACCATATGATTTCATTCATATGTGCAATTTAAGAAACTAAACAAACAAAGGAAATCAAGACAAACCAAAAAAAAAAGAAGAAGAAGAAGAAGAAAAAGAACCAGACTCTTAACTACAGAGATGGAGATGGTTACCAGAGGGGAGGTGGTGGGGGAGGGGCGTGAAATAGGTAATGGAGATTAAGGAGTGCAGTTGTGATGAGCAGTGAATAATGTATGGAATTGTTGAATCACTATATTGTACACCTGAAACTAATATAACACTGTACCTTAACTGTACTGGAATTAAAAATAAAATAATAAAAAAAGAACAGGAAGTCTCAGTGTTCCTTTTTTTTTTCCTTTGCTCCTTTGAAATGTTTCAAAAGATAGGAAAATAAGGAATACTTCCTGTTATTTTATGAAGCAAGGATAATACTGGTACCAAAACTGACATAAATATTTACCAAAAAAAATAACCACAGCTCAGTCTCCCTTACTAATTATTAATTTGATAGTTATAATGCTACTTTGGCTTATAAAATAGGTTTATATATTTTAGATGTTTATACTGAAGTTTTCAAGGGCAGAAAGTTAGGATGTCTTTTAAAAAAAAATAGTTTGCCTGTCATTTACTTTAAAATGTTTAAACAGTGGAGTGCCTGGGTGTCTCAGTCAACTGAGTGGTCAACTCTTGATTTTGGCTCCGGTCACGATCTCAGGGTTGTGAGATTGAGCCCTGTGTCGGGCTCCGTGCTGAGCATGGAGCCTGCTTAAGATTCTCCCTCTCCTTCTCCCTCCCTCCCTCCCTCTCTCACTCTCCCTCTCTCCATCTGCCACATTCCCCTGCTTGCTTGTTCTTGCTCATAACTAACTAACGAAAGAAAGAAAGAAAAGAAAGAAAGAAAGAAAGAAAGAAAGAAAGAAAGAAAGAAAGAAAGAAAGAAAGAAAGAAAGAAAATATTTAAGCATTGAATACACATAACTATAGGTTTTTAGGGTCACAAGCTGACCACATCATCATTCTATTTTTACGGATTTCTCAGTCAATCATGAAGTACTTATTTGTAAACCTTCTATAGTGATTATGTTTGAAATTTGTAACTTTTAACTTGCTTTCTATGTTTATAATGTCAATTTTTTGAATACAAAAAAACCTTAACTCTAGGAGTTCATAAGCAATTCATATGGAAGGCTATTTTTTCTAGGCTTACAAATATGGTGCTTTTATAGCTGTTCGACTTAAAAGCTTTAAAGAAATGAGTAATAAGAAAAGGTCTTTTCAAATATATGTAGAGAGAGAGATGTTAAGAATTTGAAAGGGAAGTAGGATACCCTGAAATGGAGAGTTAAAGAAAAAAGAAACTACCTATTTAGAGAAATGTAAAAAGCAAAATGCATAGTGTGCCATACAGAGATGTTGAATGACCATGCTGTGTCGTGCACGTGAAACTGCTGTGACATTGTGTGCCAGCTATAGTCAAGTGAAAAAATTAAAGCAAAATAAAAAATAATAGAAATGAGAGTGGACATTAGACAAAGAACATAATATTAGAGAATCCCAGTTGAAACATGAATAAATATTTTGTGTGTCCTTTTCAGCATCATATCATTTCCATCAATACTTTTTCTGTAATATATTTCAGTAAGTATATATTTATACAGATTCATTTCTTTTACTTAGCTGTCATAGTGACTAGGGTCCAGGAATAATAGCAGGCTTTCAGAAGCCGAACAGGTCATCCTCTATAGGTTTCCAGAAAAAGGCTCCTCTCTGGTTCACTTGAGTGCCTGGATTTGTTCCTTAATCTAAAATAGGAAGGTTGTTGGGGCACCTGGGTGGCTCAGTTGGTTGAACGTCTGACCTCAGCACAGATCATGATCTCGTGGTTCGTGGGTTCAAGCCCCGCGTGGGGCTCTGTGCTGACAGCGCAGAGCCTGGAGCCTTCTTTGGATTCTGTGTTCCCTTCTCTCTCTGCCCCTCCCCCCGCTCACCTCTGTCTCTCTCAAAAATAAAAACATTAAAAAATATTTTTTTAAATAGGAAGGTTACATACGTGATAAACTCTGTCTTCTGTGTTCATTACCTTACTCTGCATCAGATAGCTAGTCTGTAAACAGTGAGTTGATCACTGGTTGGTTGGTCATTTGGATATGTTGGTCACTAAAGAAATTGAAAAATTGTGAGAAATAGGAAAATTGGAAAGAAGAGGGTATAAAATTTAGAAAGTGATAATTTAATTTAGGATGAGATAGGAGGAAACGATTATATGAGAAGTAAAAAGGATCCAAGTTAGCTTAAAATACAGAGGAGAAGGGATAAGATCTTAAAATGAATGTACAGAAAATGGGAATGCGTGGGAAGTCATACATTTTACCTTGTCTAGGAGGTATTGAATCACTATCAGAGCAATTAGTAGGATAATGGATTTAAACTTGGTTTAGCCTTTTCTACCCTGAGTTTTTTTTTTTTTT